TAAACACAGGTGTTACCAATGATACTAATTAAGGCTCTGTTCCATTTAGTGTAGCAGAGCCCTTCCAGTGAGGCAACATGCACAGTAGCAGCATCCTGACTGTGTCCGACCTGAATGGAACACAATCTTAATTAGCACAAATACGTAACGCCTGCATTTACCCTACTGTTTCATGTCAAAATGACTGCTGTGAAAAAGTTCTACTAACTGATCACATACAGTGCTATGATGCTATGGCTCATTAAGTAGTATCTTGGTAATCTATAAAGTATAGTACAACAATTAAGATGTCAGTGGGGGTATTTCAGTTTCTAATCAGAAACAGCATGTAATTGTCCTAAAATCTCACTGTTGGCGGCCTGCCTTTTGCCGTGCAGCCTACTCTCTCTCTGATACACTGTGTCCAGTCTCCTGTATCATGAGTAGGAGGAGTACACTGACATCGCCACCACGGCCGTGGAGGGTTTCCTTAGGCCTGCCTGTGGGGATTTACTCTTCAAATTAGGTGCTGGTGTTTTTCATTGTGTTGCCATTATGAAAATGCAGACCCAGTACTCTCAGAGATGCTCAGCTGCCTAACCAAAAAGTGGCTAAATCTGTGGATTAGGTCTTCAATTGCTTTTCAGGTCTGAGAACTGGTTGCCATTTAAAACTATATACCTATTCCATGGCTAGTAATTTTTTCAACATCACCCCAAGTAAGCATCAATCCAGGGATTTTAACCAGCATTTTTTGGGATTAATTCTTCTATGCACTACTTTAAAACACCACTCTTTCTTCTCGCTCTGCAGGTGTGTTTGTTAGAGTGTGAGGGCCACGTCTCCTCTTCGCTCACATGGGAGGTGTGTAAACGCGCCGTGAAGCTTTCGCACCATCCTACTCTTTCTGAGGGAGGCGCTCTGTTCAAGAGAACAGGAGAGGAGCTGGAGCTGACCTCTCTTGACCTGAACTCAGACAGTGAACTGCTGCAGTCTGCAGCCGCAGAGCGCTTCCAGGAGGGGGATCAGGATGAGACACCCTTCGAGCAGCGCAGTGTCCAGTATGACTCATCACTGCTGGAATCGTCTGAGGAGGGGGAGGGCCTGCGGGGTCTGGATCTCAGTCTGGCGGACGAAGGGAGGAAGCTGAGGGAGGAGAGGAATGTGGAGAGTGACAGCGAGCTAGAAGGGGACGACGAGGACGACACCTCAGAGGCCATCACCTTATCCAAACGCTTTGGTGGCTTTCAGAGGGGGCGCCATGGATACAGGAAGCTGATTGGCTCACCCATGAGGCCCCTACAAAAGCGCTACGGTGGGTTCATAGGTGTCCGGAAATCTGCCCGAAAATGGAACAGTCAGAAACGGGTGAACCAGCTGCTCAGGCAGTACCTGGGCATGAGGAGCAGCCGCAGCGGCAGGTTCAACAACATCCCCGTAACTCGGGTCTGGAGGCAAAACAAACTGTAATGTCTTTCTGTTCCTCTCACAGAATCCCGCCCCCAGTTACCTCAACCAATCATGTTTTCAGCAGCTCACTCCAATTTGACATCACCATTGTCATCAGAAGAACAGACTCCGCCCTTTCGCTGCACCTCTCTTTGTGTCTCTAAGTAACAAGGAATGTTTTGACCGTGATGTCCTTCTTATTAAGCATATTTACATGCCATTCTGTGAAATAAAATAATTAGAGAAGTGCAATTGAATATATTTTTGTGTGTTGGTATAATAAAAGGGGCCAAATGAGATTGGTAAACTGGTTCACTGTGAGGTGAGACCTGAGGGTGTGACTTTCATGCATGTGTGGATGGCTTCAGCAGTTTTGCACTCTGTAGTTTGTGTTATGAGAACTGTTACTAATGCCCAGCTCTCATGAAATGGACATGCATGTTTTTACATAGGTTTCCCCTTTTAAAATGGCATTTTGTCGATTTGGGACTAAACAAATCATACACAGATGTTTGCCTTCAACTGTGCCGTAATTGCTAATCTTCCCACGTCAGAGCAGAAACATGTAGTAGAATCAAATTGGAAGTGGACCGGCACTGTGCTTTCAAGATGGTCCAGTCAGATGTAAACATCGGACAGTGGGAGTGCTGAAGCACAAACTGTTAATTACTGGTATGAGAATCTAATTTTCTGCTTAAATAACTTAATTAATTAAACACAATGGATGTAAAATTGGTTTTCTGAACTTTCAAACTCACCAAAACTCAGCATCTCTCCTCAAAAAAAGTCTTGTTCCCTGCTTCATTCTGATTATTGATTGAAAAAAATTATTTTTCCTTTCCATTGTATTCTAATTTTGGCCACTGAGCGGAGGTTATCAATGTAAACCTTGCAAGTGATGAGTTTCTCTTGAGGAAATAAGCCGCAGGTTGGCCGGCTCCCATGGGCTCCTTTAAGTGGAACAATACTGTCCTCTAGTGTTGAGGAGAGAACACGTGCCATTGGATACTGACTTAGGATCAGTTTTAATTTTGTGTATTAAGTAATATGTTATGTAATTCTTTGGACTGACTCCCTTTTTCTGCAGTAACAGTGAAAAGAGAAGTTAACCTACGATGACAGACATACAGATATGATACATTTATGGCTGATACTTCCCTGTCCTTCACTAAAAGTGTCTAAAAACAGACAAATGTGTCATCCCTCATTCTCACTGTATTAGCTGTCTGTAGTGTAATGATATTTGCCAACCATCTAATAATAATAATAATAATAATAATAATAAGTCTAAGGGACTGTACAAAAACTATTGGGGTGGAGAGGGGAGCTGATTTAACTCTTTTAGGAAAGAAAAGCCCTCCACGGTGTTATTAATTTTGTCTTTGGCCGCTCCCTTGGACTTCTAAAATAACCAACATCCTTCCCCAATATCTCAAAAGAATATAACTGTATTACTACAATTAACTGCACTATTAAAAGGTAAAGGAAGGAGAAGTGTAGAGAATTATCAGACAACTGGGTCTACCCAAATTTAAACCATAATTTGTGGCTAGAATAATTATTTTATTATGGCCATAACTGTGAAGATTAGAAAAGGAATTATAAACTGACACTTTTTTGACATACAACACAATGTTGAATATTACTGACACTTTTCAATTGAAACAAAATAATATATAATAATATATATATAAACATGAAATAAAAAAAAAACAATCTCTCCCTTCCCTTCTAATAATTTCCACACAGCCCCTAACTTACTGTGCAATTATAGAGATGAGGAAGTAATAATTTAAAGTGTTGCTAAGGAAAAACCAATCCCCAGTCAGTTCTCAAACATTACACCACCCGGGGCTTTTTGCAGAGCTGCTCACGTCACTTCAGTCCAATTGTACTTAAATGCATGAAGCTGGAACCTGACAGGGCCATTGGGTGTGTATCGCACTGTGGAATGGGAAAAGAAGCCTAAATGACACCCGCCCTGAAAACCACCATCCTAATGTACCATTTAAGAGCAGAGGGATGAAATGAACTGTGCATGTCAGCTGTGGTCATTATTATACAGATGTTTCTGCTCGGGCGATGTTCGTTTGTTTTGCCATCAGGGTATTTTCCTCCACTAGCAGGTCAAGGCCATTCTTTTGCATCTTAATAGTGTTTACGTGTTTACTAGTGTTTGATTACGAGATGTAATAATGTACGCACAGGAGTGTGTGGGCGACTGCAGAGAGCGTGAGTGTGAATGTGCACGTGCATGTGTGTGTGCTTGTGCGTTTTCCTGTCAATTAAACACAAAAAATGGAATTTGTGAATACAGTGTACATTTCAGACCACATTTCTAACATTATACCATTGTTCTTGAGTCTTCATACAAAATGTGTATAGAGAAAACTACAATAAAATAGTTTGCTATTTCTTTTGTGGACTGTCATGCAGAAGAAGAAAGAAAAAAGGACAACAAACGTTTCAAATTCTCAGTGCTTTTTAATTTGTGTTTGACAATATATTTCCTCTTTTTTATTGCTATCACAAACTCATTCCCCTAACGCTAGTACCAACACCACGACTCCATAGCTTCACGGATAAAACCATTAACACTGGTCGTATGCCAACACGCGGGCAGGAAGGAAACAGGAACTTGGTTGAGTCAAACCAAATGTAGCTTATTCTTGTGAGTTTATATTCCAACAAAGTGCCAAAAAACATGAAAATTCCCCCCAAAAAACAATCTGCCCAATACACGGGCTGAACGAGACGATTAAAAAAAAAAGGTATAAAATACTCGTACGTAACTCAAAGCACACTATCTCATGTACATCATAACCACTGTGTAACCACTGGAAGAGAGGGTTGGAATAAGGAAAACAGCCAAGTAGCAGTCTAATAGAGTGGAGCTACAGGGGCAATAATATGACCTTTGGATAAAGTAGGAGAGTATTGTAGGCTTAGCACATCACATGGTCAAATTCAATCAACAGGTAGCACCATCGCAGACTTCAGTTTTCAGGATCAAGTTACAAAGATACAGAAAACTCCATTTGCATTTCTTTAGGGAAAGAAAAAAAACAAGTTGAAAGTTAAAAAAAAACACATGAAGTAAGAGAACGGCTGTTTTTCTTGATGGCTCTCGGGCCCTAATTTATATCCTCTTTTTGATATAAGTCTCTTTTATCAGTCATTCATCCATCCACCTCTCACGCTCTCTCTCTCCATCCTGCAGCTGTTTTTAGTCAGGGAAGCGCTGGCAGGCCTTTTTCCAGCGGCAGGCGGTGCACCACTGATCCTTGCGCTCCACTCCGTACACCTTGCGGCACTTTTTGGCCTCCCCGCGACCCTTCCTGCAGATGTAAAGACACAAATGGTGTGGATGAGAAGCGATGCGAGAGGGCCGGAGAAGGAAAGGGGTGCTGCCACACACGCTTGATGTGATCAGTCGCTATAAAAATGACACTGAGGCAAAATACACTGATAACAAACGAAGAGGTGATTCAATCAATTTTATCTTCCCTGGCCGAGCCGTGGAAATGTGATTTTACAGACAGCAGCAAAGTGGGCGATAAAATGACAACCTGGAGGTGAAAGATAGTGGACAAATGCTGGAAAAAAAAAATGTGCAGACCCACATCAATGGAGCTTTATTTGTAAAGCATTTTATGTTAAGATATATGGCACCTTCCTGATAGCAATCTGAATTGTCTTTATGCACAATCTACCAGCTAACTTCACAGCCCAGGAATAGGCCACTATTTTGATAATCAATATATTTTAAGACTAAATGACTCGAATAAAGTGTAGTATATTAGAGTATCTGTTGCATTTCTTTTTTTTTTTTAGGGTTAGTCAGACAAAACGATGTAAAAAGAATTTTGATCATCTTAAAATTAAGGGATTGTGATGGGCATGGCCACAATTTTCTGACATATTATAGACTAAACTATTGATTTGATTAATTGGAAAAAACAATTATACAGATGATACACAGACTTGAAATGAGCAACAAATAAACTGAAGTTACTCTTGTTTTCTGAAGGTACAGTTTGTTTTGTAATAGAGGCCAATTCTTTCAGTTTAGAAAGAAACTGCTAATTATCAAATGTTAACATGCACACTAAACTATGATTTGACATAAACATTGCCTGCTAAACATCAGCATGTTAGCATTTAGCACAAAGCGGAGCTGCTTGCAAGGCTGCAGACTCTGTGATGTTTAATTCTTAATAGCAGGTAAAAAATGTTGAGACTCAAACTGTGAACAGGAACCAAGCCAGGTAGGTCTCACCTGAAGGAGCAGTGAGTGCGGGAGGGCGACGCACTCATAGGCTGCAGCCTGTTCTGTTGGAGCCACTGTTCCCCGACACTGACGGACCGGCAGCGAGGTTTCACCATCTGAACAGACACACAACCACAGGTTAAGTACAACAGCAGTGTGGAATGGAGAGCTCGTCTTGGAAGAGACAGAAAAAGTGGTTGTTTACACAATCAGCTGTATCCATATAAATCAGGATTGTGTTCCATAGATCAGCCAGGTCATGTTTTACTGTCTTCTTTACAGGAAACACAAGGATCATATGCAGTGAAGGTCTTGTACCAAAGCTGATTGGGCCTTCGTAAAACTGTCTTTATAGATGACTTAAAGGACATGTGTAGGATTTAGTGGCATCTAGCAACATCAAGTTTCAACTAACTCGACACTGTTGGTGTTTGTATTTGACGACCTGGGAATGTGAACAGGCTGTGAAGCGTGTAGTGGAGACTACAGTGGTCGCAAAAAACGTGCCAGTGGTTTGTCCATTCTGGGCTACTGTAGAAAAATGGTGGACTCCATGGAAGGCGACGTGTGGCATCTGTAAATAAAAACAGCTCATTCAAAGGTAACAAAAACACAATACCTATATTCAGGTGATTATA